ACACAAGTAATGTAGTATGAAAAGGACAGTATAATACAGTCACTGAAGATACTAGATGTCATATTTTCAAGGTTAGAAATGGGTATCTGTGTCTTCTAGGCAAAATTCCGTTCTAAGCAATACGTACATAACTTGATTCTTGTGATTAGGAATCAAGCAAATATCAGCTGTTTCCCTTGGTAAATTATGGGGAGATGCACGTTACTGAATTTGTTCATAGTTAACAACAAAGAAGGAGCAATAACAAGGTAATTGTCTGTAGAAGAACAGCATTCTGAACCTCAGTCTCTCTGCAAAGGTTTCTAAGATATTCTAAAGGTTATGCTGTTAAGTTTTGTATGTTAAGTGGGTATGCAAACAAAAAGGACTGGAAACTATCAACTCAAGCATCTCAAGGCTCATTTTGTATATGTGCACTTGAAGAAAAAAGAAGAAAAAAAAAGAACTTGATTAATGTCAATAATTAATGGAGAAAGTCTCCCAATTTGCTGTTTGGACCAAAGTTAGTAAGTTTATGATCATATTAATAACAAGCAAAGCACAGGAAAATATATCTTGAATGCTAGTAAGAGACTGGTTCAGTAAAACAAGCCTCTGTTTATCACATTTTTTACTGATAACATCTTGAAGATGGTGAGTTCTCACCATCAGTTTTGTCTTGTAGATCTGTACAAGAAAACCTCTACTCCTCTTCGTTGATTTTGCACAATTTCATACCTGTATCATCAGTTTGGTATTTTCAGAAGGATGCAGAAGTAATTTCTACAACATAGTTTTTAAACACATGCAAAAGTGTCATTTAAAATCCTTTCACAGAAATTTACCTACAAGAGATATAACAATAAACTGCATAGTCAGATCACTTAAAGTAGAATGGAAACTTTATGCGATAACTTGTACTAATCTGAAAGTAAAAAAGTATTTTCTTTTGGGTCCTGCCAGTACTCTTTTGCTTAGCAAATACACAGTTGATAGACAGAAACAAGCACTTTTCACAATAAGTGAAAACAGATGCATTACTTAAGAAAGGAATGCAGCTCTTGATTCGGAGTCAGAATCATCTCTTGCGTACTTCAAAATCCAATACTGTACAATGTATTTGTCCTTGTCCATTGTGTGCAGATGTTTTTGGATGATGGCATGTCAGAATATATTTTTGTGTTTGAGATATGAAGTTCAGTACAAGTATGACAATAATTATAACCTTTCTTTGGTAATTACTTACTTATAAAAACTATAAGCATTCATTCCCATGCATCTTAAAACAGATGATTTTGTTGTGCTTAGGGAAGAAACACATTTCAAAGAGACAAAGGGTTTTTAGCTACCAGGATAACATGACAAGGAAAAATGAATCTCAGTTCAGAGTATCCAAAGATACTGCATCTCTATCGGCAAAGTGTCCCCCTCCTAGCCTGCTGGGATGGTTCGGGATGAAGTTCTGGTCTTAGGTTTAGATGTTGACTCCTGGCACAGACTTTTATTTTCTAGTCTTTTGATCTGCTGATGAACTACAAATAAATTACCTGTATTCCATATGCTATAATCAATTTGATCATACATTGTTTTCAGCTGTTTATAATAGGAAAGACTAAGAAAATATGACCCGTTTCTTTTACACTGTTGCTTTGGACAGAGTCATATCTCCTGAGTCATAGGATCTAGTTTATGTGCTAAGAAGTAAATTCAAATCAGCATTCAGTTATTTCACTGTCTTAATACCTGAAAAAATGCAGTTCCTTGAGTAGAAATGCCATGATGCAAATGGTAAAGCTGCCGTTAATTCAGATAGAGATTTGCTTAAGTGTGGAACTTAAGGGAATTGCCTGTCTTCTAGGAATATTTGAGCGCCCAATGTTGTTTTTATATTAAAAAAAAAGATCTAAAGTATAATAGCCCACATACATGTCTACATTTAAAATACCCAATCTTGTATCTCAGCTGTATACCAATCTGCTATCCTCTCAAATTAACTGAAAATCATATTGAGAGGTTTGTTCTTCCTGCCCACACACACGTTAAAAAAAATCTTGCACCTCAACATACAAATTGATCCCAAGGTAGGGAATGTCAAAGAAGAAAGTTCATTGCAGGTATGTTGCTGCACAGTTGATCTAGGGGTTTAGCCTTTGCTTTACAGCATCACTTACTGGCTTATTGCTAAACACTGGATTAGGTGGAATAGTGGTTTGTTCCAGTAGATCTGAACGCTTAAACATAAGCTACTTTTGAAAATACATTCTCCAGTTTTACGTATGGTACGTACAGTAGTGGCATAAGGCATTAACGCAGTTCAGACAAAAAAAAAGTGTTTTCATGAAGCAGAAACCAACTTAAATTGTTGAACAAAGTCTTCTGCCCCTACGCATGAGGACATCAGAAAAGAACCTGGACGTACATAACTCATTTTCTTCCCATTGTGTTTGTCCATTAACCAGATGAAGCGCACACTTCCCATGCTGTTCCATTCATACAGCCTAGCATTCATTCAGAAACAGAATGTTTCCTTTAGTTGATGGATTAAAGGCAGGAGGGGGGGGGAGGAGTGTAAAAATGTTTTGGGATGTGCAATACTTCAGGAACAATGTTTAAAGGTTAATTCACACTAAAAGTTGTCATGTATTTTTTTTTCCACAACTTCAACACAAAACAGGTGCTGCCTCTTAAATGAGCAAAAATAACTTTTTTAAAAAGCAAGACCTAAAGCAGTTTTTTCTGCAATTGCTGAGAAGTTAATGTAAGTTTGTTTTTTAAATCAATCTTATGTTACACTTTCCATACAGCATAAAGACTAAGTGAACAATTTTTTTTGCCATGCCTCGGCTAACCCAGTATTGTATTTTGGTAAGTTGAAATATGAACCAAGGAATGTGTATTAGTGACCTTAAAAAACAGCAAGTAAACTCTGTAAGCAACTTTAAAGGTTATTGTTTGCTTTTCATCTTCACTTGCAGACCAGGTGTCTCTAGCAAAGCAAATCTGAGGAAAAGCTACTTTTGTTGGAGTCTCTTTGTGAACAAAACAGATGACATAAAGAGCAGGTGTTAAAATAGTGAAAAAGGCAAACAGCATTTATTTTACAGGATGTTTAGCTGTGGAACAGCTAGAAAAAAATCAGGCTATTCTAAAGCATCTTATTTGGAAATCTTTGCTCAAATAAAAGAAACGTTTCTCTGTCTTGTAAAACAGAATTTACCTTTTGATCCCCCAAAGAATGGGTTAGATATACTTATCCTATTCCTCTTGTAACTGATTTCCCAGGGTCTGACAGGAAAAAGCATAGTTTTTACTAAATAAGGATGCTGGAATTTGCTTACTGGTTTCTGTTTACCTGATGCCACTTATGATACTGTGTTTGCCTACTTAAGTGGCATTTAGCACTGGAGTCCTGTGTGTGATTTTACCATTTATGTTAGGAAATTGCTTAGCAGCTGGGTAGATTAGACTGGTTTACTTAGTGTGTTTTTCATCCTGCAATGCACATCTGTTAATGTTGGTCTTAACATTACAATAGTGAGCACTGTAAATTAATAAGAGTGTGTTTGCCTGTGAGATTAAAAAGCCAAAAGCTACTGAACTGACATTATTTGGATGTCTAAATTAAGCATCCTAAACCCATAAAGACAGATTTAGAGGCCCACACTGCAGCCTTCAAGTGTATGCATTTTGGATTTGAGCTTCAAGGTTCATTTTCAGGTAGATGACAAGAGTATGCTTTCTGCTTTGAAGTGTGACTTCTGTTTCTTACACACACAAATTCTCTAGCAGGTTCCTTTGATTATATCATGCTAGTTCTGTAACTTTGTAACTGATGAGAGAAGCAAACCCTAATGCAAAATTATTTTATAATCATGTAAGCTTAGGATAAAGAATTGGCTAGTCATTGTAGAGAACTGTGAATGCTCTCCATTCGCAACAAACATTTCTTTCTTTATTAAAAAAACACTTATGACACCAAGTTGAAGACTTATTTGGAGATACTATGTCAACTGCTCAATTAAGTCCTCAAAGTATTTATTGCTTGGAAGATAGGCATCTTGATATGAAACATAAACACTCAAATTTACTATGCAATTAAACTATACTATTACACTCCTTCAGGTACCAGTGAAATAAAGGTTTATTAAATCAAAATCTATCAAACTGTATAGCATTTAGAATAAAGTGACTTCCTATTAAAATGTGGAATAGTGATCAGGTTTATTCTCCAGTAATATTAAGAATGTATGCAGCATAAGGGTTCTTTTTCTGCTGCTTTGGGCATAATTTTACAAATGTTGCCGCTTTGGCATCCAACATGCCATTTTCCCTTTCTTACAATGGAGTTGCATTAAAGGAAGCTATGTGGCATCTGCAACACCTTTTCCAGAATATTTTTCCCTTGAATATTGTATATTTGACTGGAAATGTTACAGGATGCGAAGGATATCTGGTAATGAACTTTCCTGAAATTCTGTCATTTCATTAGGCTAATTTCACTGCAAGCCAGACTTGCAGTCATTGCTTAGAATTACAGTTCTTTACCAGTGAGGCTTACGTCGTACGTCCAGTTCTGCATGCAAGTCTGAAATCATGTTTCAAATAACATTTTTCAAAGATGCCTCAGATAAAGGTGCATTCTATATTCTTCAAATAGCGATAAAATAGCCCTTGTCCATTAATTGTAAATTAGGAGCTGGTTCTTTCATGTCAAAAATTTCAGACATGCTTGCAGACTGCCTGCGTATGTAATTACCGTTTCTCCAAGCAACTCAAACGTAATGACAAACTTTAAAGCACGAGCTCTGCAGAACTGTGCAGTTCTCTGCTCCTTTCCAGTCAGCGAAATTATGTTCTCAGACTTCAAGGCAACTTTTTGATTGGAAGGTAGTTGAGAAATTTAGTTTAGATAATGCATTTTGTGAATTTAGAAACTGCTAGAAGGAAAAATAAACCCGCAATGAAATCGATAACAGGATGCTGTAAGCAAGAATTGTAGAACAGAAATGGTATTATCCTACCTTCATTAGCCACTGAGTGTTGTTTTCCATGATGTTTTCAAGTAGTTGCAGTCTTTGAACTGAGTCGTCGTAGTCTAAAGGTGCATCCCTTTGCACCGCGTTGGAGACGTAGGAAGTGGAAGACCGGCAGTTGTCCGTCTCGGGCAGGAGGAAGGTATAGCTGCAGGACCCGTGCTGAACCTGGTACTGCTTCTTGCCTATCGTCTCCATGCTCTTACTAAAGGAGTTGTATCCTGAAGCTAAGAGAATACAGCAGCCCGAAAAGAAGTAAGCAGCCAGCTGCATTTTAATTCCTGCGGTAAAGCCAGCAAACCTAGAGCCGCTTTAGCGCGCTAGCGAGAGCGCGGAGCTCGGGAACCTGCGCCGGGACCCTGCTGCCATGTGCCGCCGGGG